TTATTAATTAATAAAATTAATTTGTTGACCTAATTAATAAAATAATTTGACATACCTGATGTTACAATAACTATTCAAAATTTTGTCCACCGACGTGTAAACACATTTGGGCCCATCTTACTCAGTTTCTGCGAACTAACACAAATGTTATCCTGCTGCAAATGCTAACACAAATGTTTCACCATAATACAAGTGCTTCGCCATAAATTAAAACGATATCCATCAACTCCGAGTTTTGACACTAACTACTAAAAACTATTGTAAACACTGTCGCAACGACGATTGTAAAATCGGATTTCAGTATTCGGAGTCGTTGAGGCCACGTGACTCTCCACGCGTATTGCGAATGATGCTAGAGACTACAGTTGTCCAGCGATATAATGCTTAAAAGTACTACAACTTCAACAATATTTTTCTCGGATCTATTCCCATATTTTTTTGGATAACTGATGACCCTGTATAGGCACGCTTCTTATTAGATTATTGATTGTTGCCATCGAAATTTCCAATACTCTATCAGGGCATTTGTAAGTTCATCCTGCGTCTGTGGTTGAAGTTTCAATCATGTCTATTTCCCTATTCAAATGAGCAGCGTTTAAAAGTTTCTGTTAGAGTTTGGGCTTCCATGTCTGAGTTCCAGTTTGAGTTTCCTTATCCAAGCCTCATTTTGGGTAAATTGAACTTCAGTTTGAGTTTTCTGTCGGTGCTTCAGCCTGGTTTTGGCAGTCTGATCTTTTGTTTGAGATACAGATTTCATCTCTGAGCTTCAGTTAGAGTTTCCCTGTCCGAGTTTCAGATTTAGTTCGCCTGGCAGAGGTTCAGTTTTAGTTATCATGAGGAGGACCCTCTATGCCCGAAATGTGGCGAAGGGAAGGACACCCCTGTCCACCTTCTGGGGCAGTGTGCAGCCTTTGGGAGAATAAGAAGATGACATTTGTCTTCTTTAAATATTAAGTACGTACAAAACACCTTCCGTTGAAATTAAGGTAACTGGTATAGTTTTTACGATCTCAATTGAAGAACCAAGAGGTTGGCGTATGTATCAGGTTCGGTCGCTGACGCTGCAACTCGGCATTGAAATATTTGAAAAACTTGTTCCCATATTTATTTAGCCATACCCATGTACAGGTCGAGTCACCCAGTTGAAGAATGAACGCGCGGTCTAACGCGGCACAAACATAGCCGTACTGGGCGACCTGGCCATAAATTCAGTTGTTGACAAATGGTTTAGCAGTGCAGTGCAGCAATGCGGAATTTGGTGTGATTCAGGTAATTTTAATTTAATATAGGCACCTTCTAGTAATCATTCATATTACAATTGCAAAAGGGAGAAATAAGAGGGATATTTTGTTTACTAATATTATTACAACATGGCATTTTGGACACCTTTTGAAACGGAACAAAACGAAATTTACCATCAATATAAAAAAATTGTTTGACATAAATAATTAAAATATGTTATTGCCGATTGAACATATAATAGAAATTTTTACACATTATATACAAATTATTATAATTTTTTACTTTTAGCAGAAAACTTTTTTGGGGACGCCTATGAAACTCATTAAATTTTATTGCTAGGCGTTTTTATACATGTTAACTGACTTTGGAAAAACTATAACAATGTCCATACAAATTTAATTGGTTTAGTATTTGAAAAACATCAATTTGGCATTTTCATTTTTGGTTTCAGAGAAAAAATGTTACTTTGGTATCAACAGCCGTGAGAAAATCCTTATTTTCGCGTAGATCTTTTTATCAGTTAATTGACAGATAAAATATTTTTCGAACTATTGTGAAAGTTTGATCGTCTGTTAGAGTACTTGTTAATATGACAAACACTTTAAGATGTTTGTCAGTACAGTGGTGTCCCATGACTTTTCGGAATGAAGTTTTGAACATTTTTTTTTTTTAATTTTGATAGGAAATATCAGTATCTGTCATATTCAATTTTAAAGTCAAAGATTTGACCAATTTGATAATATTTCATTGACGTAATTATTTTATATAAGAGTCCAAAAGGAAGGAATGATTTGTGAAATGGCGGTTTATCCTGCGCAAATGTTTAAAATGCTAATTTTAATCGAATTTGATTGATGCCACGTCAATCATCAACCGAAAATAGTTCGTTTCATGTGATTTAATTATATTATTATTTAGAAGTATAAATTTTTCTATAAATACATCACTTCTCGATTAATTTCTTACATAACAAAATGTATTAAATTAATTATATATTTATTTGTGTTTCATTTGGTGATGGGAATATTTTTTAGATTCATGTTAACACAAGCGAAAATAATTTAATACAACTCTAAACGATGTTTTCAGTTATATAAAGTGTATGGGGAATTTTTTACCACAAAATTAGTTTTTGGAATATTTTGCTACTGTAAATGTAGATTTATTATTATTTTCTGTTCGGGTAATAATAATTTATTAATGGTTGAAACAGCTCCTCGAATAATTTTGAGGACTTGCCAAAACTATTAGTTTTGCAATGTTTTCAGGATCTTTTAGTTATCGAAACTCGGTTTCGGTACCCTTGAAAATACTGCGCTTTAAAATAATCGAGATTTTCTAAATGCGTTCGTTTTCGGAATATTTTCTGCATGTATGAACCCTTATCTCATTTTTTTTTGGAATTGAAGCGTTTTAACATAGGAAAAATATACTACCTTATTCTACCAAATTTTAAAGGAATATCTTGGTATAGGAGTACCTAAATATTTAGTTTTTATTTTAGCATGATCGTTAATTCAAAAATGCCAAATTCAGACTAACTTTTCCTTTTATTATTTGTTTTTTATTAACCACCAAATTCGCGAAAAATTTTGTTTTATCGATAGAAACTTATCTTTTGATTTAAAAAAAATTAAACAAAGAAAAACTTATCTAATTTTGATACCTAGTCTTCTCTTGAGAAATTTTCAATATATTTAATTCAGATTTGGTAGCGAGACATATTGGATTACATTATTAACTTTTAGATAAAGAATTGTAATTGAAACGAGATGGGTTTGTAATTAAAACAAACTCATCTCGTTTTCAATTCAATCAAATCAAATTTGGTTATAGAGAATAACCACTTTGCAGGTAATTATCTGCTGCTAAGTCAAAATGTTTCAATGCCAAATAGTCGAGAAAGAAATGGTTCCATGAAAGATGACGTTAGTATCAAAGCTTTCTTTTAATCCTTTACAATTAGAAATTGCCAGTTTCTTTTTTAATTTCTTCAATTTTTCTAGATTTTGGGCATTGTCGTGGTAGGACTAGTGAGCCACTATTTCAACAGATACCAGCAGTACTCCAACACCCCTGAAGTTTTTTTCCTCCTCATGGCAGTGACTTTCCTCGTGGGAACGTTTCTGCTGTTGACTTCGTGTTTAATTTCAATATCCACAGCTTCCATCATTTCCAAAACGATCTACGTGAGTATAACCTGTATTTATTTAGAAATACAATGGCCAACTGAACAAAGTCCCAACTCCCAATTACAGACATGTGACATGTGAGACCTAAATTACAAATATAAAATTAAATAATGTCCGGAATGTACTATTTCTTGTGATGACATCATCGTGTTGATGTTTGTGAAGCTAATTAAAAGCTATTATTTCCATTATAATGATTGTATTTGCTAAGAGTTCCTAATTAATATAATTATTGTTAAAAATGTACAACATACACCATGTGGTTTTTATAGTTTCTAAGAATATTACATATTTTTATTGGAGTTTATCAATATTTTTAAAAAGTGTGCAATGACTAACGTATTTTTTCTAAACTTGTAATAGATGAATAATGCGTCAATGTGTCTATAGTAGATACAACTCTTTTTAGAATTCAGTTTCACAGCTTACTTCATTGAACATCTTCATCTGGATCCAAATTTAGGATTCGGGCTTGTTTTACTAAAATAAACAGCAATTCACATTCATTGCATACCACTTCATGGTAGTACATTAACCTGGATTTTAATGAGCCTTTGAAAAAATTAAATATACATGGTTTCCCACTAGGAAGCCAGCAAACTTTAAGGATATGCAAATCTAAAAAAATGCTTAAATATTTCAAGAACTTGTAAAGATAGTTGCAGAAAATTTGATAAAATAAATTTGCGTTTAATGTTACAAAATCTTGCATTTCAGTTATAGACCAGGCGATATCTGTTTTGGTTTGGGTGAATCGTATATCCACGGAGATTTTTGGCTTTTTGGCTTTCAAATATCACTAGAAATAAAGCCGTCATTCACATTAAATATACTGGGACATCCGGGCTAATTTTTCGAAAAATACCTTTGGTATTCCGAGTACTTACCAGGTCTAAGATTACAATACTTTTCTTCATTGGCAACCTACTCTAAAACGTGTTTAAAGTTTTTTATGCAAGCGAGAAATTCAATAAAATCGTACGGGTGGTGGGGGAAGCAGAGAGCGCGGCCTCTTCGGCCTGCTCGAAATTGAATCGGCTATAACTATGTAACCAATTGATCAATCGTTATGTTTTTTTTAAAAGAAGCATCTTTCCAAGAACTTTTAAAACCTGCTATAAAAAATTTGATTTGATTGAATATTCACAAAGTTCTAATTGTTTATAAGTACAAAAATTCGACAAATGTTTAAACAAGCGCCACAGCGCCTAATTGACGAATTCGAATTTTTCAAAAAAAGTTTGTAAGCTTGAGAGCTCTTCTATATGTGATTAAATTTTCAAGTATCTAAGGGCCTTGGTTTTTGCTGTGCAAAATTTTGAAAATTTGCAAATTTTTTTTCAAAATCTGGATTGCAAAATTATTATGCAAAATCTATCGAACCGATTTTGATGAAATTTGGTGTGATGATTCTACATAACATGAAGTTTTCTTGAGCCAAGTATAAAGGTCCTATACCCAATTTAAATACCCCAAAAAAATTCCCTAAAAAGTATTGTTTTTTAACCCCATTTTTGCGATTTTTTCGATTTTTACCATAATAAAAAATTTAATTGCAAACATTTTTTTTCTCTTCCATTTTCGCCTAAAATCAACTCTTGAAAAGATACATAATTAAATAGGAAGAAAAATATATTTTTAGAATTTTTTTAACATATTGTGCCGCCAAAAGTTAAGCCCACGTTTTTTTTATGCGCATATTAGTATCCTAAAACTTAGTATTCCTTCAATTTTTTTTGGAGTTGCAAATTGAATCATCTCTTTTTACTGCAATAGGCATTTTTGTGTGGAATCAACTCATTCAGAAACGTAGGTAGTCGTTTTCCTTAAAAGTGTGTGAAATCTTGCACCAAACTCCAGGAATGGATTCTACACATCAAAATAAAAGAAAATATGTTGTTATGCAATTTTCATTTGTTTTCAAGTTATAGCATAATTACAAATTTTAAAATTTTGAAATCAGGGTGTCATATTCCAAGTTCCAAAGTGGACATTTGTCAGCGTTATTTTATTTTTATAATTTAATATTTGATACAAATTTTTGTAATGGAATGCTAATGCTACTGTTGAAGAATATCGTCAACGGTTTTCACATCACTGATGTCCTGATAAAAATGTATTTATCAGAGTTTTCAACAAACCGTGCGAAACCGGAAAGCTTCCCAGTAAAATCTGAACGAGCTCATTGACAAGGTTTAGAAGAAGTAGCTTGAAAACAAATGAAAAATGCATAACAACATTTGGAGTTTGGTGCAATTCTACCGACTCGCCCTTCAACAAACTGTACAGATATAAAAAAAAAATTACACAAAAATCACGCTTTAACAGTTGACCTCTTCCCCCAAGTTCTACTAAATGTAGATATTAATTGTATTAAAGTTATCATCACATTTCTGAAATATATTTTTTTTTCCAAAAAAGTTTAACGCTTGGAGACAATATATATCCGAACTTTTGTGCTTTTTTTACTTAAGGACTAATCCCTCAGAACTTCCTGACACACTTATTAATTATTTAATTTTTGGTTACCATAGATACACATGATTTTAACATTTATATTCTTGTACAGGAAGTGGTATACCACGGATTTGCCTTCATTCTTTATCTGGCAGCAAGTCTGACCTTCGTTATCGAGATTAACCACAGGAAACGTAATTACTACAACGATTATGAGCCTTACTTTGCTGCTGCTGTAAGTAATTGGACGAATATATTTTTCCATATTAGTAAAAAGAAATCAGTAACAAGTGTAATTTGTAGTATAAATCACATTTTTTTACAGGTTATTGGTTTGGTGATTTCCTTCCTCTACCTTCTAAGTACCATCTTCGCTTTGAGGAGTTACAGAGGCCTATAAGTTTTAGTTTAGTTACCGTTATTTATTATTTATTTCCCTTGCTATGTATTTACATAGTTTTTTATGCTGTTGTTAGGGGATTTACCACTGCATTTTACTACAACAGGCACTACCGATTAGACTTTCCCCAAATTTTACTTATATTCTTTTTTTGTTTGTTTTGTAAGTTTATAGTTATATTTTAAATGAGTACAGAAGACCTAGGGTTTATTGACCAATAAATTTTAAAAAATTGGATTTATATATACTGGAAAGACATACTCATATATCTACCAAAAAGTAAATTTCGGATGTAGATGTAGAAGATATACGTATATTTTTAAAGTTATTTTTAAGATTAGAAGATTAGGCGAAGATGTAGGAGTAAACTGACAAAATGCTGCCATAAGTGTCTGTATAACGTGCCTTAAGTGTTTGCCTATATTTTTTATTACTTACTTACTGTCGGTCCATTTATATTAACTCTTTGTGGATTTTTTGTTATTTTTAATGTAGATTTTAATAAATGTTTGTACTATTTATCAGGACGTTCAATCCTCTGGGCCTTCTAACCTACAAGATGTGAAAAAATGAGATCCTCATTGAAAATTAAAAATGTAAAAAAATCTCTTCGCCCACTTTCCAGAAGACTACTTGCGTAGTTTTTCATTTAGGAGCTTGATTTGTGGAGCCTGATTTGAAAACCTTTGGGAGCTTGATGTATTCCGTGGGGTTTTCACAATGCCTGGATGGTTGGAACTCTAGCACTGAGGACTAAGCTGGGAGCAATATGCTTTGTAAAAAATTTTAACAATCTTTCAAATTGTAAAAATTTGGAATTTAGTGATAATACTGTATTAACAATGAATGAGTATGTAGTTTATGATCTACAAAGGGCTTTATATAATACAAATGACAATAAATTTGGAGTGTATTACACATATTGGCTAGGTTCCAGGCCTGGTTCATGAACTGTACTGTACAAGGGTTGACGTTCGATCACCTACCTTGATGGGAAGTCCTATATCGAAGTCCATTTTAGATTTGGGCACTTGGCCTCTTTGAAATTTGTTGATCTTTGGAATTTGGTAGACTAGAGCTAACTGTAGACTTGTAGTTGGTTTTAGTAATTGCTGTTCGTTGCCCTACCTGAATCTTGCTGAATTTGAAAAACTTTTTTCCAAAAATTCAAAATTGGGGTGGTTCTTCTGTGCGTCACGAGCGTCGCTGGCGGTCGACAGCATTGGGCTTCATCGCTCCATCGCTGTCATCTGCTACGTCTTTGGCGGTTGAGGAGGGTTGGGAGCGTTGTGAAATGTTTCGTAGAGAATTTCAATACTTCAGATATTCAATAGAATTGGAAGTATTTCCGAACTATAAAAAAATCCGACTTACGTGGAATACGTTATATATTCAAGAATCTCATGAGAAAGAGATATAATATACAGCAAACTTGGGTGATATTAGACTGTTTATTTAAAATCATTATATAATGTAGTATTGCTGTTTCTGTGTAAGCAACCAAACAAACACGTGACTAGTGGGTTGCATATCCAATGAATGAAACATTCAATTAATTTTAAAAAAGTGGGAGATCCTCCTCAGACTGTTATTCTGCTAGGTAAAATTAAATTATATTTCATATTTTAAGGATCTTGAATAAAAAAAGTGACTCTCTCTGTATACGACACTCAGTTCAATATTATTATAACAGTCAGTACAGTTTTATTAAGGTAACTACAAGTCCTCCTTTGAGGAGAATTGTTCATGAGCTTTATCTTTCTTAAAGCTAGCGTCCTCCTATGTCCTACATTTGGGCAGTCAGTATTTAGATACATGTTTTTTGTTGTGATATTTACAATTATTTTTATAAGTTTACATACTGAAATAGTCCCTAAATAACCAATTGAAATAATTGCCTGGGAGAGAGTAACAATTCTAGTGCTGTATATAATCCTTACTCTTTGGCTGTGTTCTCCTGATCAAATTGTAGGTTTTGGTATAAAAACAATCCTCAAGTATGGATCCAGAATAAATTTTCTTTTTAATCATCTACTTATTTACTGCATTATCCTGATTATATTAACTTGTCACAATGATACGATGAAAACTTTTTTGGAACTGTTGGCTCCACCGCTCTGCTTTTGTTTACAAATGTTGGTGAATGCCTATTTGGAAATAATTGTATATAATTTTAAGTTAATTCGCAGTTTTCAGCAACGTTTCCATACGCTATCACCATGCTCATAATTCGTTGTTACTGTATTGATGGCTCTTTCTAATATGGTTATTCTCACTTCAAATTAGTAATAATACACACACCTTTCAAAAAAGGAAACAGTTAAAGTACAAATCTAGAAAAATAAATGACTTGGACATTTATTTAGTAATAATTCTCACAATAAAATTTCAATCAAGTTTATAAACGCCATTTTTTCTGTAGATATTTATGATTCAACTAATTCTTCAAGGTACGTACGATAAGATACACTTTAATCCATTTAATTACGTACATGAAATTGATATTTATGTTAACTGATTAATACGTACAATTACATCTAAATCTACAATAAATTTTAATCAATTGAAAATTAAAAAATAAACATGTAGTTCACACGAAGCAAAATAATATTGTGGTTTACAGAAATTATCTGATATGGATTACTACAATTGTACTACAATAATCAAAATAATCCATTAATCCAAAGACCTCGAGGTCGTTGCATTAATCCTTCTAATAAAGTTGTTGCCGCGGTTAATTCACAGAACGAGAAATTGATGACCTATCCTGGTCAAACCATATTAAGTTTCAGCTACAGGAAGCAACTAATGTGTTTGGATGTTTTGCAAAATATTTCCTCATATTGTAACCTCCATTAAACCTTACCAAACGTATATTAGACGTAGCTGAACACAGATACGGATTCATATTTGAGAAATTAATTTTTACAGTGGACCAATTCGTTATTGAAGTTGATACAATTTTTGAATATTACTTTGCTTCTTTAAATCTCCACAACTTAAATTGTTATGTGCCACATAAAATAAAACAAAGTAAGTTTGGAAAGGTTAATACGTTTTATCCTCATTTAAAAAAAAAATCTTAGATTTCACAAATATGACTGTTGTGCTCTGAAATTGACACTGAGATTTATTGATCAAAAGGCTACAAAGGTCAAACAATTTTTAAATTTTGTAAAATAAAGAAACAATTCATATTGAGATTTGCTTATGCCTTAAGGCATCATACCCTTTGGAAATGGAACAATTCGGAGGTTACAAGGGTCAAAGGATTATTTAATTTTTTTAGAATGAAAAAAAAAATGTTAATCCTGCTGTTATAAATTGAAATTGATTCTGGAATTTATTTATGCCCTAAGAAATCGCACATATTGTGGACATAGAAAAATTCAGAGGTTACGAACAGACGATTGTTATATTATTTGGAATAAAAAAAATGTAGATTCTGCAAATATGGATATAACATATTGAAATTAATACCTACTGACATTTACTTATGTCCGAAGGAATCATATATATTGTGGGAAAGGAAAAATTCAAGGGCTACGAGGGTTATACGACTTTTTCATTTATTAGAAAAATGGCTGTTACAGGTTGAAATGAATAATGAGATATATTTACATTGCCTAGAAGGCTACTGTCCAATGGGGTGTTCGCCAACTTTTCAGATATTACCGTCAAACGATTTTTTTATTCTTATGAAAGAAAAAATCGAAAATGTAGCTGTTAAAGGATTGAACATACTGAGACTTATCTTATATCCTAAAGTAACAAAAATTAAAGGATTAAAATAATCATAAATTTTTTAAGTGACTTTCAAAAATGTTGTAAAAAGAAAAAATAATTTGAAGCTTGAGGTTTTTAGTTTCAGAATCTAAAACTAAAACATTTTTGTCGTTGACAAATTCAAAAATTTTGTTTCCCTTTCAAAATGTCTGCGGGCTTCAATATTTTGTTTGGCAATTCCACCTGTTAGCTCTTTTAGTTTGATTCATAATGTGGATGTATTTGTCAAAATAGACAAGTAGGTATCAAAATATTTATAAACAAACAAATCAGTGTCGTGAAGCCGAAAGTCCTTTGGCAAAAGTCGCCGTTGACGCCGCTCGCTTACACGTGCCACTATGGCCTTCGATAAATGTGACATTAAACTTAAAAAACCTAAGTAAAGGTTTACGGATGGCAAATGAGCTTTGTGATTTCTTCATAAAAATTGATTTGTCTATGGAAAGAATTTTTGTTTTTAAGAATAGAAGCAAATTGATAATGCCATAGCTGTAAAAGAAGAAATTTTTTTTTATTATTTTGCAACATCGGAATGTATCCTATATTTTCATACAAAATGCCACGTATTCGCGGTACATTTTCGGAACATATCCTCCTGAATAAGGAGCTTTGACTGCTTCCAAAGGAACCCTCAAGAGTTCAAACCTTTGAGATCTTTCTTTCATTGTGATCCGAATGACTCAAATTGTCACTTTCTAAAAATCAATTAAAGGATAAATTTTGCATTTCTTATTTATATTTTTATGTCCGTTTTAATACCTTTTTCTAAGTAAAACTTTTTAATTTTATATTGACCCTACTGATATTCCAATAGCCTCATGATAGTATTATACTTAAATTAAATTGAAATATATTTAAAAAAAAAAAGTTCAGCTACAGACTATTCTAATGAAGACTGTAATTCTTTTACTTCTTTCCATGTTTTTTTTTAAGATATAGATACATAATTAGATTCCACGTGTGAGAAGAAATTCACCATCTTTAAATACAGGACCACCTGAGAAAAAAGTTTTGAAGATTTTACAGCTTAAATGGATCATCCTGTATATGGAATAAATTCATAAACATATTTAAATTTAACTATTATCTAATTTTAATAATAATGTCTAGTTTATTTTATGTTTTTTAAATTAAAAAATACACAGTGCTCCATTCAAACCAACATACCTTACTTACAGGAGTTCAATCGATGTTTCTAAAACTTTAAGGTGTATGGAAATCTTTAAGGTGTATAGAAATAGTGTTGTCAATCTTCTGAAGCGCAAAAAAGAACAATATTATTTCAACAAAATTGATATGTTTAAAAATGATACAAGGGAAATGTGGAAAACTTTGAAGAATTTAGTTAATGTAAATAGTCAAAATATGAATAGTTATATTTCATTTGAGGAGAGATTAGAAATTAGGGTACTAAAAAATGATGTAGAGATTGCGGAAAATTTTAATGGTTATTTTGTTGATAGTATTGGAGATATTACAAATAGTATTATCGCCAATAATGGAAACGGGTATGGTTTATATATTTTGTATCCAGCGTTTGATGAATTTAGGACAGTAACTATGTCAGAATTAAGTAAGATTATAAATAACTTGGATAATAGATACTCTGTGCATGATGTGATGAACCCCAAAATGTTAAAGGAAATATTTAAAGCAATTGGCCATGTTATACTTAACTTGTACGTATCCTCCCAGTACGTCGCTGCGTACTGGGAGGATCCCGAAGTTACTGAAAGTCTCTACAATCATTCCAATACAAAAAATTGTTAATACAACTAAAGCTAATGAATTTCGACTGGTTAATACATTGCCATCAATTGAAAAAGTACTTGAATTAGTGGTGTGAATTTTAATAAATATTCAGTCTGGTTTTCGACAAAAGCATTCTTGTGAGTCAGCTCTTCAATTAACCATATGTAAAATAAAGAATGATATTGACAATAATAAGTATGTGATTGGGATATTCTTGGACTTAAAAAGGGCTTTTGAGACAGTGGACAGAAAATTGTTGTTAGCCAAGATAAAACAGTATGGCGTTGGGGGAAGGGTGTATGGTTGGTTTGAGGATTATCTCCAAGATCGGAAACAAAGAGTTCGTTTTAATGAAGCTGTATCTAATGAAATAAACAATGATATAGGTATACCTCAAGGTAGTGTCCTGGGTCCTCTTCTCTTTATATTATACCTTAATGATATCGAACTTTTTATAGATTGTGAATTTATTAATCTTTTTGCTGACGATACATTCATAGCATGCAGTGATGTTAGCCTTGAGAAAGCAATACAACAAACAAATAGGATATTAACAGCTGCAGCAATATATTTTACAGCTAATAAACTAAAATTGAATATTCAGAAAACTAAAGCCGTAATATTTACAACTAAATATAAGTATCGTATGATGGATGTGACTGGAATTAAATTGCATATAAGTAATGAGAATATAGATATAGTATCCCATATAAAGTATTTGGGTTTTCAAATGGATAGTTTTCTAAACTTTGATTACCATTTGGATTATATGCAGAAAAAGATATCTAAGAAACTATATTTTTTTGGCAGAGTATCTCAGCATTTGACAACTCAAACCAAGATT